AAGGTATTTGACAAGTAATTTAAGATATCTTTGATTAAAGTTATAAACAAGAACAATATTCTTCTAGTAAGTAAAATGTCTTAAAATTATACTTTAATCATTAATTTTATCGTATTTTTAGTGAATTCTATGAAAAATAGCGAAATTATTTTCTTTTGAATTTAGAATAGATTCGTACACAAGCATGAGGGCATCTTTCGTATATGTATATATTATTTTGTTATTTAATTAAAAAAATTATTTTAGTTAAACGTTTGAATTTTGATCTTAACATTGATTTAAATACTTTAAGATTTAAAGAAGTTTATTTTATTAAGTTTATTTTATGCATAAGTTTATAAAAGATGTTTAATTACTGACAAGATCATTTTTATTTAAATTTTAATTGTCAATAAATATTTTGAATAATTTTAATGTTTTATGTTTATATCCGAAGCTATCCCATGCGTACATAGGTACCCTATTACATGTACGAAACTACACCGCCTGAAGGGTAGATTCGTTTTCGATTTTCAAGTTTTGTAAAAATCATCTGCGTTTAGTTATATATTAATTTATTATTTTAATTGCATGTTTTTATTGTAGCTGGATATCTATACTATTTATTAATACAAACTTAGTAGTGTAAAAGCATTTAACACAGTTTGGGAAGCAAAACTTCCAAAAGTGTACGAAGGATCCCCATTTCCCCCTATAGCTTCTAGCAAATTATATTTCTGTCAGTGTCATAATTAAAATAAAAATTGTGTACATACTATAAAAATCATTAGGTGGGCCGAAATGATATGTTGCCCAGTTAGCGATCGAAATGTTTCCCGGTGGCACAATATACGACGTTACCTTGAAATACATTCTTCTTTCGGCGACTTTTTTGCAGATGCAATTGAACGGAGGAATCCTTTCTAGAGAGATTAATTCATTGAGTTATATAATAGGTGACTTATTGAAGGAAGGAAAAAATAATTATGTTGTACAGTAGTGATGCAAGAGCCATCATTGTCGGTGTGCTGAAGAATCTTGATCTCTGATCATCTCACATTCCTAACAAAGCGGCTGCGTGGATATTCGAATTATATTTGGACAATGATACGAATATTTACGGAATAAAGGTAACATTTTATTTGCTCGTATATACATATATGCTTTATCGTTTAAAATTTCTTATATTATATTTAATTTTTAAAATTACTCGTTATTGTTATCTAATAATGTTATCTAATAATTCCAACTAACTTAAAACAATATTGAAATCATTTCAGACTAATTATTATACGGATATCGACAACACGATAACTGTTTTGTTGCTATCAAACTGTATTACATAGGTATATGTTACATAGGTAAATCCACTACAGACTTTAATAAATAAACTCCATTATCGATCTAACAAAAGTACCTCAGGACTTACAATTACAATCTTCATGTAGCTGATCGATAAGACTGATTGAGAATTTAACGGAAGATCTGTTAGAGAATTTAACTCGTCGAATCACAATGGATTCGTTTCGTAGTGAAGCAAGACTTTAATATTTATTTTAGCTTTCAATATTTAAAGTAACCGCGTAATTAAATTTTGTACAATAACTGGGAGAGAATAAACAAAATAACATTTTCTCTTTTAAATCCATATAGTGAAAATAGCCTATAAGAGCCGACACAGATGTTGGTGTGTTAAAATTCTTATTACAATATCCACCACACTCGATTTGTTTCCGACTTCACGCAAAGAGCTGTGTTTCAAGTTCGACAAACCGAGCGGCGCGCAGATCGAGTGTAGTGGATATTGTAACAATAAAAATTTTAACACACCAACACCTGTGTCAGCTCTTACAGGCTGTTTTCACTATATGGATTTATTCTTTAAAGCTCATTGCTTTAATTTTCTCTTTTATTTTTAAAAAAGAACATATTACTAATTACAACATATTAATGAACAGTAATTGAATGTGATTCTAATACGAAGATATGTGACACTTCGAATATTATAGAGATATTATACTATCATCGTGCTAGATTATAAAATTAGCACATCAATTAGCGAAATCGACTTCTGGGCGAATTCCGCGAGCCCAAAATCCATAAATAATGCCGAGCTATTATCTAAAACATTTACCCAGCATCGACTTCTTGCATCCAAGTCTAGACATGTGCGCCCAAGTTTACGATATTTTTGTAAAATAATATTTAATGCGTAAAATACAAGCCGCAATTGTTGTAGCCAAATGTAATTACAGTTTTGAAAATTCCTTTTCGTCAGCAAAGACTGAACCGATTTTAATTTTACTATCAAGTAATGAGTAATCTCGACGCATATCGGCAGCGAATTGCAAAATTCCGTTATTCTTTGTACGAGATGTATCCACACGGATATCTAGAAAGAAGATAATTTATTGTACGTATAACTCTATCGCATAATTACGCAATGCTCTATTTATCTAAATAGCTTTAAGACGTTTCTCTAATAATAATTATATATACATATATATATTGTACATATATACAGGGTGTCCGCTACTCAATTATAGTTGCGCACTAGGCGCACTGGGGAGGCGACCACGGTTCGCGGTGGGCGGGGGTATCTCACCACGTGTTCAGATTCGACGAGCATTGTATATTAATATCTCAAAAACTATTGCGAAGATCGCAAAAAATGATAGAGGACTTTTTTGTTCAATTTGGACCATTCTACCTAGAGTGGGTAACTTGCCCACGAGCGCTGTACCATTGAGTAGCGAACATATATATGTATATATATATATATATTTATATATTTTGTTTATATATATTTTTTTTCTAAATTGTCAATAAGCATTAAGTTATACTGATTTAATGTAATATTTGTAAATACAAACAATGTATGATAAATTATATACCTGAGTGCGATACAGCTTAAATAATTGTCTCTTTGGTTTAGTTATCTCATCCAAAGTTTTGTTAATTTCTTTCATAAGTACTTTTGCGCATATATTCGACTTCTCCTCTTGATTGATATTCAACCAAACAGTTACAATTTCGTTTTCATTTTCATTCTCCTCCGACAGATTCCACGCTCGCGCCGATTCACGCTCCTCCCCCGGTCCCCGTATTGCAGAAATTTGCGCTTTCTGGCGCGTATTTGTCTTCTCGTCGTCGCTGCTGACGCTGTTGATAGTAAAACTCGTGGATCTGTCATCGGACGCTGTTCCGTTAATCAAAGAGATTTCCTTCTGGCACATCTTCTTACTAGGTTCATAATAATGTTCAATATCCGACATGAAAGATTCTGCTTTTATCGTGGTATTGCATTTATCGATATTTGCAAGATTGGGTAGTGCCTAATTAAAGAGACAAAAGTTAAGTTAAAAATTTAAGAAGTTAAATAATTTTAACTTAACTTAATTCTATTTTAGACTCTTGACTTTTAACTTAATTACATTAGTTACATTTTATCGGTAACTATTAACTTTTGATCTAATTTTCTTGAAATTACATTTGTAGTGTTTCTTGTAAACCCAAAATAAAATATACATCTGCGTTGGTGTCTTCAAACTCAAATTTGAGAATGCACAACAAGGCAATTGTTATAATATAATTTAAATACAGTCTGGCCACGGGAAGGAATCTATTCGCGGACCTTCTATGTATTAAATCATGTTGGAAGAAGTCTTTCGAAATCG